TTTCAGTATTTTAGATTTCTGGTACTGATCTTTCATGTTCTCAGTGTCCATATAGCCCCACAGCTATGTTGCATTAGGTGTGACAGTTAACAGCAGAGTTGAATTAGAACCCTGGTTGCTGACTCCCAATCTTTTGTTCTTCACTTATATGAAATAATTACCAGCATTATAATCTTTGCCAGAGACTGTATGTTGTCTGCTTTATTGTGAAGTGTCCCTAAATTCCTTACTAATAAAACCCTGATTTTAACTTGATAGCATTGTACTTAGTGTTTTACCTCTTTAAGCCAGTAATCATAACTTTTATTTCTTTTGTACTTTTTAGTTTCTCTACAAACACTTGCTTTGTTTTGTTTTTTCAAAGCCAGGCCTTCAAGTTCACTTCTGTAGTGAAATGTGTTCACCGTTTTCTTTATGGTAAATGCCTTTAAGGAAAATTTACCTTGGGGAAAAATGCCTGGCACGTTAAGTATTTGCCACAAATATTTATTGATTAAATGACTAAGAAAAATGGTTCTTTTCAGTAAGAACAATAAATATCTTTCTTTTCTCATGGTCTTATGCCATTAAAAAATATATATATATCTTTTAAAAATATATACATCTCAAATAGAAAAAGCAATATTTTCTAAGTCACTTTTAACTTGTTCCTTCTGTGCATCGTTCTTTTTCTTTTTCTTTTTTTTTTTACAGCCTGAATACAGTAAACATTCATTAGTCTATGCCTGTGAACATACTGGTTGAAAAATAAATTTTATAATTATATTTATGCTTAAATGTTTTCTTCTCTGCAGTTCACAATACTTTTCAAAGTAGATTATCATATATTTCAAATAATCTATGTCATTAATAAATTATTGTGAAGCCTTCATATATTCCTAATAAAATATGAATACTCTTTTACCTAAATATAATATTTAGGTAAATAAAAATAATCTTATATTTACCAACGTATACCTAGCTCATCCTTACTTTTTATTATCCTGACACCCAAAACCAAAATAAAATGAAAACAATGACAAATGTTAGGTTCAATAAGTTCTTTATAATGTGATGAAGCAGAAATCTATAAAAAATTTATTTACCTTATACTCTTTTCAAAAGGGTTTCACTGACTAACATAGAAGGTAGCCAGCTAGTAAACCATGGCCTTATAATATTGTTCATTTTGTTCCATGAAGCCTATTATCCCTAAAATCACAGTTTTTATAGAAGCCTGTAGGAAGTGTTTGACATGTAAGTATCAATAGATACTGACAAGTAGCTGATTCTATAAATATTTACCACATTTATAGACTGAAATAAATAACACTGATAATGAATAGAGTCTTTTCTCACCATCTCTTGTGTCAACTCTGAATTAAAGGCTTTTCTTTCTTACTTTAAAAAAATATTTTTTTAACATTTATTTATTTTTAAGAGAGAGAGACAGAGTGCAAGTGGGGGAGGAGCAGAGAGAGAAAGGGAGACACAGAATCCGAAGGAGGCTCCAGGCTCTGAGATGTCAGCATAGAGCCCAACATGGGGCTCAAACTCACAAACAGTGAGATCATGACCTGAGCTGAAGTCGGACGCTTAACTGACTGAGCCACCCAGGCACCCTGCTTTCTTATTTTTGAAAGTAATCATTAGACTGTCCTTTAATGATGAATTTACTTAAATTTCAATAAATGTAAGTTCTCATACCTCTCATCCCACTGTATTATATCCAAAGTTAGTCAATATTTTCAGATGCTTGCTGTTAATAAATATATGCATACTCTCTCTTAAGTTCAGAAATAATCTTGAGTTGAAAAATAACTGCTACAAAAAAACCATGGTTCTCTACTGCAGACTCGAATTACCTTCTAGTAGAAATTCCATTAATTTCATTTGTAAAAAAAATATAGAGCTTTGCATTACCACTGTTGAAATTTTTGAAATGCCTTGAGCAAAATAACAACTTACAGAACTAATATTGGATACTTTTGATAAGTTTAAGAGGAAAAGGAAAAATATGATGGAGAAAGTTTATTTTTCCAATGCAAATGTTTAGGAAAGGGACTAAGAATAGCAATGAATCTGCAAATATTAAACACCCAAAATAGATAAATGGGGCTTGGAAAACTGTAGCAGTAATATCTGAAATTATGTACAACTTCCATGCCTTTGGAAAACTGAATGCTTAGCTTTATTAGAAGGGATTGAAGGATTTATTATTTTTTTTAAGTTTATTTATTTATTTTGAGAGAGAGAGAGAGAGCATGAGCATGGGAAGAGCAGAGAAAGAAAAAGGAAAGAGAAAGAAAAAACAGAGAGAAAGAGAGAGAGAGAGAGAGAGAGAGAGAGAGAGAATCCCAAACAGGGTCCACACTAACAGCACAGAGCCTGACGTGGGGTTCGAACTCACAAACCACGGGATCATGACTTGAGCCAAAACCAAAAGTCAGACACTTAACTGAGTCACCCAGGCGCACCATATGTATTTATTTAATAGAAAGTTGCTTTTCATGTTGTATGTAATACAAGCAAATTTAGAAAATGTGAAACTTGTAAGAAGTAAAAAGAAAAAAAATGATCCATTGTATCACCAATCATTACATCTATCATTAAAATTTTGACACATTTCTTCTCAGTCCTTCCAATATGCAGTTTTGTTTTTCAGTATATATACAGTCATCATTCCCTTTCTACAATTTGTATAAAGGCAGACATACTGTAAACACATACAGGTCATCTCTGCATAGCAACAGTGGTTTGGACAAACTATATTTTACATCTACAAAGTTTAGGCATATCAAATTATTACAGATCATAGTTTCTCTAACAAAAATATATAATCTTTATTCATTTTCATAGAAAATTTTACATAATTATATACATTTCTAATTACCTATATCTTATACATTTTGATCATATATGGAAATGTATACGGTTCTACAACTGTATGTACTATATGTATCTCTAATTAATTAACTAAACTTTTTTGGGTTACTTACCTTTAATTTTTGTTCTCTGAAAGTATCTTAAAACGAATCCAACTTACTAATTTTTTTAAACTGACAGAAGTGCTCTCAAAATTGCTAATATTTTCCGTGAGCAATCGACTGAAATGTTGGCAGCTTAACATATTCTAGATTTAGTAATTCATCATATTTCCTTCATGAATTGATCTCTCAACAAAGCAATATGCATTTGGAAAACACTGATTATACTTAATAAAAAGTGAATGGATGTCAAAGAACATTTTACTCTGCTTAATGAGGCTTTATAGATTAAGTCTAATTATCACTGATACAAAACTAAAAATCCTTTATGTATTGAACAGTAATTAGCTTTTCTCTCAGAACAAAAATCTATTTAACTTAAAAACATAAGGATATCTTTGGCAGAAATAAGACAAGTAAAGATTTGATAACATGAGCCAAAAGATTAAAGAATGATTCGAATTTTTAAATAAATTATTGTCTTCTAACATTTTTTTGTGACAAGAAACTGATCCAGCATATATGGAAGTGGGTAAAATAACTCCAAAATTCTGAAAATCTGTTTGGTGACAGATTTAGTTTAAGTTAAACATTTTTTTAAGTTTAAAAAATAAAAAGAGAAAAATTCTAGAATATATTTCAGTAAAGAAGCTAAACCTCAAATAAATCTATTTTGGCATTTTAGAATTACCAGGAAAGAAACAAGTGGACTTGGACATAACTTGTCCCTTAAAAAGTCATGGACAATAATAAAAAATAGGTAATAGGTTCAATGCAAAAGAACACTGTTAGAAACCCTGAGTTCTAGTTATGTCTCTGCCTGGTTGAGACTGTATGATCCTGGAAAATTCCCTTAATCTTTGAGCTCTCAAAATAAATCTCCTGCAGAATTAGGAAGGCCTTTCTTATTTCTCTAACTATAAAATTAGAGGGTAAGATATGATGGAAAAACTGCCCACTCACACTAGAAAATATTTATTGCCAGAAAAAATTTCTTTCTGTGCATTATAATGGGCCAAAAGGGAGAAAGATTCAATCAAGAAAGAAAATATCAACTGCAGTTGGCTGAGCAATTTAACCTTTTGAAACATTTTCATGCATATGATCTCATTTAACCTCACCATAATCCTAGGAGGCAGAAGTAAAATTATTATTGCCTTTATTTTGCGGACAAAGAAATTGAGGAAAAGGGGGCATTATTCTGATGTTGTTTGAAATCACAGAACTATTTCATGGGTGAACAAGAATGGTCTCCTCACTCCTTAACTAGGACCTCTTTCAATGGAGCCGATAAAGTTAAAGCGAACAGTTAACCATATGCAGCTGAATCCAAGTAAGAAACAAAAGCAAAACAATAAAGGAAACATATAGGAAATGAAGTCTCTACAGTGGGTTCTTTGTGCTGATTGGTAAGGCTGTATACTTAACTCATAAGCAAAAAGGGAGTTATGGTGATATTTTCAGAAATGTATATAATTAACTAAAAAATTAAATTTCTGTAAAAAGCAGAAATTTTACATCCCTAATATTAGGAACCTCCCTCCCTCCCTCCGCCCCCCCCCCCCCCATGAAAATGGATCATGTAGCATGGCATAATCAGATGGACAAGATCTTTCAAAAAAACTAAGGCATATTTTTATTCCCTTCTGGACTGACTTCCAACAGCATGTTTTTCCTATTCAAATTAATTTACCTTTCAGTCAGTTTACCTTTCAGGGAACTAATGTTTTCCTATATTTCATGTGAACACGCAGATACTTTTATACCTGTATAAATTATAAAACTGTTGACAAAATTAATAAACAGGAAAAAGTTTACTTAAAAAATTTGAAAAAGAAATCTGTTATGTCAAAGCTCCTTGTTACTGGAATATAGTGGATTGAAGCCTTGGTGTGTGTTAACCACAAAGTTATATGTATAGCTGTATGAATTAACTAACAAAAGTCAATGCTCCAGAGTGTAGTGAAATTTACTTCATTTAGGTTATGGTACTACGTTTTGTTTTAAAGACTGTACTTTTTAAAAAGTGGATACCTGCGGTCCATCTCTGGCTTCATAGAAGTCACCCACTCTTATTTTTGCACTGAAGCTGAAATTGTCCCTTGAGATATCCATTATTCCATTTCTGCTGAGATACTGAAAAAATCACATATTTTTCCACTTCAGGTTTTAATAATTACAACCCAGCTTTGATGTATAGCTTTCTTCAGGACACTAATGTTTTGCATATTCTAGCAAGGGGCTATGGGTTTAGAGAAGATCACTTTAGGTTAAGTACATTAGTCTCATACAAGAGAATATTTTCTGAGAAAGGAGAGCACTTTTTCTTTCCCATAAAGATGCGTAATAGGCACCAAATGTATGTTATTTGGTGAAAAGTATGTACCTTTATTACTTCAGGGTATTGCCTAAGTTTCTTTCCACATGGAGCATAATACGCTACTTCTCCTTGAAGGCGCCCTCCAAAGTTTCTTATTCTTGTCTCTCTTTGCCAGCTACACATAACAGAAATGAGGGTTATAACATATTTAATTTTAAGAAAGCTTTTTTTAAAAAAAATTAAGAACACATGCTTTTTAGACAGCAGGAAAAATACAAATAAAACAAATATAAGTCCCTAATCATACGACTCAGATACATTTACCATTATTTTGATTAACTAAGTAATTCAATGAAAAATTAATCAGACCCAATTTACAAATATTAAACTCCATTAAATTTCTTAGAAATCGTTAACTGGTATTACTTTGGGTTTTCGGACCAATTCAGTAATGTGTCAATGTGTACTGATGTTTTACACCTGAAAAGCTTTAAGTGGAAAGAGTAAAGTGAACTTGGCTCTCTGCTCCTCGGGGATCATGTACTTCTAACGTAAACAGTCTCAGTTCCACCTAAACCATTTTAGCCAAACTCTGGGCAAGTCCCCCCAGTTTTGCCATAGTGGCTTTTACTGTCCTTTAACCCCCATCTTCACAAAAACCTCTCATACTCTTAACTGTGTCCCAGCCCTTTGCCAATGACTCTCTCTTGCTTGCTTCTTTTTCAGTCCTACTCCCACCTGACTGTGTGATTCCATTCCAGATGCGCCATACCTTAACACTGCAGTTCAGATGAATTTCAGTTTTCTAATATATTAACTTCTTTGCCCTTTGCTCTGGCTCTTCTGCTCTAATGAATACCATGCAGTCTATTCAGTTCTTTTACTAACAGCAGAGAGTGAGAAATCAAACATGCACACATATGTGGAGGAAAGGCAACGAGAGAAATCCTACTTTGCATACCCATATTCCAAAGGAATACGCAGCTCGCGCTCATCTGTTACTCTTCGCCTTTTGGAAGTGCCTTCAAGAAAATTCAGCCAGTTAACATAACAGATTAGCTTGTACAGATGATAATTTTTTGATAGTTTTGAAAATTTTCTTTAAATAATATATCTTAATGACTTGAATCATTTAATGTCTTTCTGCAACTTGTAGGTTATTTTTAGATGATTTTCAATAAAACACTGTATCAAGTAGAGGCCTTTTTTCCTTCTTTGGTCTGCCTGACAGAATAACTGGTCTTTCTAAAGAAAATACAATGGAAGACAAAAATACGTAGCTTTCCTCTCATTTTGTATTTAAAGAAATAGCTAAAGAAGGAGGAGGAAAATAGAAGACAGAGGTTTCAGAAAACCAGATACAGTTGTTTTCTTTGAGAATATGACTTTTTAAGATGCTGAAAAATTTCAACAGCTGGCTCATACACTTAAAAATACTATACATCTATGTTCGTATAAATCCATAGTCAAAACTACTACCAGGTCTTTAAACCTAAGGGACAAATAGGATTATGATTACATGTAAAATTCTTTATAGACAATGACTAAGTTTCACAAATGCAAATACGTGCCTCTTAAATTAGCAGACTATCATACTGGACTGTGGCAAATGAAAGCAAAACCAGATATTTGTAAGAAAAGAGTGAAATAAATAAAACAACATGATATTTTACTATATATCTCTATATTTCCTTAGCTACCAAAATAGAAATAAAAAGTCCTTTTGGAATTCATGTAAAAACTTTTAATGAAGACCTCTGGAAGTTTATAAAAGGTCAAATAGAAAAAAAAAGATGTGGCATGTTAATGAAATAATAATGCTACTCACTAATACAAATGATATTTGGCTATATGTTGGACAGATATGCAATTGTATCTTAAGTAACCAAGTGAGCTCATTTTTATAAAGTACAAAAAAAGGCCAACTATCCATCAAATTCTAAATTCTAGAAGCATAAACTGAATACCAAAGCAGGAAAGTATTCAAAATCAAGAACTGTCATCAATCGTGTTCTTAAATTGGAAACACAGAAAAAAAAATGGTAATGGGTCATATCCTTTGAAAATATACATGGACCTTTCTTAGCCAACCTCAAATCTAGCTGTCACGCTTGATTCCAATGAGATCATCCCCAGAAAACTGTATAAATAAGAGTTCTTGCTATGGTTTGACTTCTACTTTATAATAATAAAAATAAAGTATAGGTACCAGAGTGTGGACTTGAAGTAAGTGTGGAAGAAGGTGTGCCAAGAAAAGCAGGTGACTGTGATTCAGAACATAAGGCAGCAGGAGCAGAGCCTGGGGCTTTTGCTATGTGGAGGTTACGAGGTGTTGGGTGAGCAGTGAGACTGATGGAAGGGCTTTTGACAGAGGAAGTTGTTTTATTCAGTTTCATTGACGTTTTCTCTCCTTCAGTATCACTATCTGATTCATCTTGGTCTTTATCATCATCATCATCTTCTTCTGATCCTTCTGTATCTGATTCTGAATTACTATCTGATTCTGGGAAGTAAAAGAAGCATTTGTATATTATAACTAGATAATCACCAACATTTGCAGTTTGTATCTAAATGGGATAGTTTAGGAATCAGAATCTGTGATTGAAGTCAACTGAGCAACTTTCCTAAAGACTTAATGTAAAAATTACTATCTAACAATCTATTTGAGTACAATGTATGCAGACTACAAATCCTCAAAATTCATTAAAAGTATCAGCTTTACTCAACTCTTTAATCATAAAACAGTTCTTCTCACATGGCACTATTCACATGATGAGTTCTGCTTAGTGGCTTCAAAATCACTTTTAATTTAATATAGAAACTAAGGTATAGAGGGAATAGAATTGATTAAATTAATAGATTCCAATAGCTTTAGAAGTATACTAGGTTCAGTATGAGGAAGAGAAGTCTGGAACTACCATCATTCTTTCATCTGGACTTTGAGGTAAAAGAAAACCATTTTCTGAGAGATTCTTGACTTTTCAGGCTGCAGTTATTCTATTTAGGTGCACGATTTCATCAGGCTTCACCAAAGACCAGGTTACAGATATAATTATGTGTGATCACTTAATGGTTTAATAATTTAAGTTTGTTCTAGCAATGTAGTTCTATATAAGTATCTCTTCCTATAGATATGTATAATCTACTCCTGGATTAAACTTGATTAAACACAGGCCTGATGCTTGGAATGTATCTTAAAGGTTCCCAGAATAACAGCTTTTGTGGAATCTGCCTATGTTGAAATTTGTTATAAAAACTGTCTTCGAAAGTTATTAATAATGGTAGTCATATTCTATCATGTAAAGTTGTGTTTATGGGAATCCCAGGAAAAAATATTGTCAGGAAAAGCTGTTCTTACACTGAGCGACTTTAGATACTTTAAGTTGTATAACTGACTATATTTTCCTATTTATATTGGTAGCTAGAAAATTTACCATTGGACTTGTGGAGGGTCAGTAATAAGTCCAAATATTTTCTATAATATGTATTTCATCTTTGTATTTAAGATTTAAACTATCTTATATTTTATGCTTCCAATCTTCTGTGGAACAAGGAGGAGAGTTAAGGGGAAGAAAAACAGAAAGAAGTTTTAAAAAATACTAGAAAGTGAATTAAAAAATAAAATCAAGGAGTACTCTACTTGTTATTATACAAATTCTGTGTTGCTAATGGACAATCATAGGGATTTAGGTTTTTAGCACTTTCTAAATGACTGTGACTACAATTGTACCTCAGTGAAAATACCTGCTGAAACACTTAAACAGGTAGCAGAAGAGATGAAAAAGAAAAGACAAATGAGTGGTCATGAATTAAATGAAAATTAAGCCAAGTTTGTGATTTCTTAATTCCTGCATCATTTATATTCATTTAAAGTTATTTGTTTAATGTTAAATGAATAACAAAGCTGAGAATTTAACTAGGATTTCCAATTTCAGTTCCTCCTATATTTTACCAGCTCATTACAGAAAGGCACATAGCTGTGGGAAACACAGTGAATGACAATGATTAGAAGTCTGTGAACTAAAATCCTCCTTAAAATGTTTTGGTTCAGATAGCATTTACAGAAATACTTCAAATTTAAAAATAAAAAGTAACCTGATTGGCTGTCATCAGATTCATCATCTTCATCATCTTCCTCATCTTCTTCCTCATCATCTTCTTCTTCATCCTCATTTGAATCTTCAGAATCTTTACTACTGGGAATGTCTGAATCTGTTCCCCTGAACTGTTCCACTAAAGATTTTGCAGGGTGGGGGTGATGCTGTGTTTTCACTGGGTTTACATTATTGCTAACTGCTCTTTCCTTCCCTTGACTATGCAGTATGGGAGAGGCGGAGGGGGTTACAGTTGTCTGACTGCCAGGGGTTCTTCTCCCACCTGTACTCAAATTTACAGGTGAGGAAAAAGGGGTGCTGCTTGGAGTAGCGATGTTTTCATTAATCTTACTCTGCATTTTAGTTTTGGTAGTAAGTGCTAGAGGAGCTTCTTGAATGACACTTTGAATAACTCCATTTGGTTGGTGATTACCTAAAAGTGCATTTGTCAAGAATGGATTAGGGTGGTTGTTTTCTGACGTCTGTTTTGGATGTGCTGGTGAACTAGAGGTTGCTTTCGGAATTGACAAAGCTGCAATAACCTTCTTCAAGCTCTTGGATGACTCTTGTTTCTTTAACTGTGCTGGGAATGTCTGTTTATATTGTTCCTGTGAAAACAAAAGTTAAAAAACAAAACAACAATGTACCATAAAAACAAAGATTACTTGTATTTGCCTTCCATATCTGACAACGGCTACTCATATACAAATTTAAATCATGATATACAAGTGCTTAAAATTAGTGGCAGTGATGACTAGTTGGTTGCTGAAACTTGGCTAGACATAATATATATTTAAAATTCAGTTAGTCTTTGTCCCTTCAAAATATAGGTTTCTCCTCTCTCATTACTATGGTCCCCTGTGTCTCAATAATCTAAATTTGAAATGCTGAAAACATCTTTTACTTTTCTTTCTTCCAAGTCAGCCATATTCCTATGTCTTTTGGACTCTTTCATCAGAATATTGCTCATACATAGGCCATACCATCATTTCTTCCCACACAATTCCCAACATATATATCCTCATGCCATTTTTATCTTCATTTAAACTATTTTAGCGCCTTGGTCAAAAGCTTTAGTGTCTCCTCTGTCACTGACAACTTTATAAGGCCTAAATACTTAATTTTGAGCCTCAAGTTACTTTTCAAATTATAACTTTCTAGTCAAACTGTACTATTTGCCATGCCCTGTTCATGTCATACTTCCACCACCTCCGCATTTTGCTATAATCCTTTTCTCTGTGTGAAACGTCCTCCTCTTCTAAATAGCAAGCTGACAAAATCTTGCCTATCCTTCAAAATCCAGCCCAAAAAGCTTTCCATGTTTGTTCCAGCCAGAAGCACTCATGACTTCTATCCTTTGAACCCCATTACCTCTTATTTGTTACTGGATACTACCTGCAGTATGCATGATATGAAGCTGCTGGGATTGCTGGCTCAACATTGTGTGGAGTCTACCTTGGAGTCCCTTTAGCACATTAGCATTAGAAAGAGTATAATAAAACAGTTTAGAAAAAGTACACTTTACTTGGAAAAAAACGATTTGTAAACCATTAAGCTATAAAATTTACATCTGTAAATAAGAAATAAAAACTTATTTGGCTCTCAGAATCTTGATAAGAATAAAACCACATGAACTTTATTAAATTTGTATAATTAAAATAGTACTTAAGTAGAGGGGCACCTGGGTGGCTCAGTCGGTTAAACGTCCGACTTCGGCTCAGGTCATGATCTCACGGTTCGTGGGTTCGAGCCCTGTGTCAGGCTCTGTGCTGACAGCTCAGAGCCTGGAGCCTGCCTCAGATTCTGTGTCTCCCTCTCTCTCTGCTCCTCCCCCACTCATGATCTGTCTCTCTCTCAAAAATTAAATAAACATTTAAAGAAATTAAAAACTTAAGTAGAATGATTAAAGTATTTTAAGTAGTGTTGAATTTCAGAAGGTCAAAGTCTGTAACGAAAATGGTTGCCTTAGAATTAAAATCGGTAGCACTGTCAGCATTGAACCTGGGCTCTGAACATTCTAGCCAGCAAAAATTTGTGGTGGGCATTTCAGAGTATAAATGCAGATGGAATGCAATATAGAATAATGTATTAAATCTTTTACAGCAGCAGTGCTAGTAAGCAGTATGCAATTCCTACATAAACTTCTTTATCTTATTTAATATCCTCACTGTATTAGTTTAGAAAATTAAGTTAATTCTTTATAAACAAAGACTGTCACATAATATTCATACCTAAGGCAATGCTTCACAAAAAGAACGTGCTTAATTAGCATTTATTCAGTGATTAAATATGGGAAGTTATACTAAATAATTGCATTTACCTTTTAAAAATAACTTCATGGCAAGATTCTTACATAAAATACATTATGTAAAAATGCATTAATATACTTAATTTTACTTAAGAGTTTCAATATAAAAATATTGTATATTATATATATTTAATATGTACTGAGATTTCAGCAGAAAAATTTAGTATGTTTTCATTTCTTAGAACAAAATTATGTCACATAATCATTTTGTACTCTTTTTTATAGGTAGTAAATTTTCCTTCTAAATACATAGGATCAAAACAGTCATGAAAACAACACCTTGTCCTTTAGTTTTATATTTTAATTTTCTGAAATTCATTTTGACTTAATTGTAAAGAATCACCTTCCATATATTGACACCTGAAGGTTTTCAAAAAAACCCCCAAAGATCACTGTATTTCACCCTAAGACTAGTATCAGTTACTCTTTTAAAGCAAACATGTTGTCCTTTTTGATACTAGAGGTGGTACATAAAAAGGGAGGCGGGGGGGAAATTGAGAACTGCACAACAGCAAATGTCTTGCTGCTTTAAGACAGCCACTTAGATGACGAGAGTATGGGAAGACAGGTTTGAAGCTCTGTGCTTCCTCCAAGTTTTTGCTCCCCCAGCCCTTACCTGAGTCTGCAGTCCACAAAAAAAAAAAAAAAAAAAAAAAAAAAATTCTAAGCAAAACTTGATAAAGAATATTCACTACTGGTATCTATATCCAATTAATGTATATTGATTTGAATTAAATGTCTATATTATAAGGGTATAGAAAGAGCCAATGATTAAATAATACTAAAAAAAATCATAGACTAGTAGGGGAGGCAGATACATGGCAGGTAACATGAAATAATTGAGACTATCATAGGAATAAACCAAAATTCTGTATGTTAGACTGTCATATAAAGAAAGAGAGCTGATGTAAGAAAAATGTTTATAAAATACCCTTTAACTCAATGCTAGGTACCAAGAAAAAGTACACAAAGTCATTTAGAGTTGAGTCTAATGTGAATGTCCATTCACATAAAATATTTCCCATGAACTACAATTATCAGTTCAGAAACACCACATTGTTTCATCTTAATCATGGGCTTGGTTTAAGAATGACCTTAAGAATGACCTTGGTTTAAAATCCTTCTGTTCTTTAATTGTTATGTAATGTTAGCAAGGGATTTAATCTCTTCTAAGCTTTAGTTTCTTTACCTCACACAATTTTGTAAGCATCACATAAGATCATATGTATAGGAAGTCTGGCTTGGCCACATTTATTAAGCAAATGTTTAATAAGTGACTTTCTAACAGGCAGTCATATAAAATTCTTTAAATAAGAAACATTTAAGAAACTCTTTGAAAATTAAGAAACCTTTCAAAATACAAATAACTCCTAATATGCTCTATAATTTATCTTAAAGTAGGATACACATTAATTAAAAATTAAAATAACCCAAACAGTGTAAATTTTAGTTTGCTTAATTTACTCATAGGCAATAATGTGATGCCAGAAATAATACCTCCTTCTGATTGAGCATCACAAATTATCATATGCATGATATTATACCATTGGTCATTCTGTTTAGATCAGCGGTTTTCAAATCTGGCTATACATTTGAAAGCTTTTGATATGTGCAATACCTTGGTCTCAACAGACTAAGAGATTCTGATTTAATTGTTCTAAGGTATTATTCCTTTTTTTAAAGTTTTCCAAGTAATTCTAATGTATCCTTAGGCTTGAGAACTATGCATTTAGATTCTCATCAAAGCCTGATTTGTTCACGTAATTTTACTTTGACCCTGTTCTTAAATTCTTCTCAGTGCAGTAAGAGTTAATGGACAAGGACATTGTAACTTTTTTGAGAAAGGCAGCTATCACAGAGGTTAAGAACAAGGATTCTAGTACTACTGCTTAGATTTGAATTTTAACTCTGTCACTAACTAGCAGTGTGATCTTGGGAGAGTTATTTTTTATGAATCTCAATTTGATTATCTGTAAATGGGCATTATAATATTAGTAGCATTTACAGATGTTAGTGTCCAATGAGTAAATGCATATTCAGCACTTAAAACAACAGCTGGCAAACAGCAAGAGCTTTACAAGTTATCTAATGGGATTAAGAGGTCTAATGATAATTTTTGTAATCAAAAGACAGGATACTTTGTTGAAACATAATATTTTTTCTCTACTCTGGATTGGTTCTAGAATAAAAGGCACTGGTCATTTAATTACTAGAATTCTACTAGACATATGAATGTAGACTATGTAGAAAATATAAAATCAATAGCAAGAAAATAAAGATGAAAAAATTCTCCGATTATTGGTTCTGGTATTTGTATAAATAAAAATTACTCAAAATATTTTATATTTCATATAGTTGAGTCTAATGTGAATGTCCATTCACATGAAATATTTCCCATGGACTACCATTATCATTTCAGAAACACCACATTATTTCATCTTAATAATGGGATTTGATACAAGAATGATCTTGGTTTAAAATCCTTCTGTTCTTTACTTGTTATTTAGAACAAGTAAAGACTCAGTCAGGTGATGTCCGACTTTGGCTCAGGTCATGATCTCACAGTTCCTGAGTTTGAGCCCTGCATCATGCTCTCTGCAGTCAGTGCAGAGCCTGCTTGAGATCTTCTGTCCTCCTCTCTCTTTGCCCCTCCCCACTTGGGCATTCAACCGTTCTCTCTCTCTCAAAAATAAATAAACATTAAAATAAATGATTCTTCATAAAATCGTTCGTTCTCTCTCTCTCTCTTAAGAATAAATAACATTAAAATAAATGATTCTTCATAAAGGATTTTTATGCTTGTGGTTGATAAAGTATAAGGCTACAGAGGTAAATGACTCAAGTTCATTTCTTTAAAGAAGAATATATTGATATTAGAAAAAAAGGACATTGATCTTAAAGAAAAGTAATCTGGAGTATATCTTATTCAAATGTATTTCTCCCCTTTCTGCTAAATCATTAAACCTCAGGAAAAATGACACGATTGTGTGCCAAAAATACATTAAGCAGATGTATATGTAAATATAAAATCAGAGAAATCTGATGTGCATATGCTATTCCTGGTAACTAATAAAGTATGAAAATAAGAGTAGAATTTCATTTAAACTAGCATATTGTAAGACTATATAAAAGCTCTTTTTCTAATAATAAAATTATTTTATAAATAATTTTTAACTCACCCGTTTGGATCGCATTTCACTGGTCAAAGGACTAGATTCTTCAGAGGTATTTTTATTCCCTGCTTTAAGTACATCAGGAGAAGAAGGAACTATGAGTTTCATGTAAGTTTCCTTTTTGGCTTGATTTACCAAAGATAAAGGTTTCACATTGGACACCAATCCCGTAGACTGTATTACACTTGTGTGTTTGTTCACAGATTCCTCCTTTGCCTGAGAGCTTTGGAAAATATATGGAAGCTGCTGTGACAAAACCTGAGGCTGCTTCTGCTGGGATTGGAATGATGGGTGAGTCTGGGACTCAGACACAAGAGGTAATGGCTGCTGTATTCTTTTTTCCTGGGCTTTTTCAGTTGCTTTCTGTCCATCTGCTTTTGGGTCTGAAATACCATGTAATAGCACCTGTAAATAAAAATAAAAAAGCAACTTCTCAATATCTATTAAAACAAAGAACATCAAGCAGCTGGAGAAAAAGGGTACTTTAAAAAGTTTTTTGGGGCGCCTGGGTGGCTCAGTCGGTTGAGCGTCCAACTTCGGCTCAGGTCATGATCTCTCGGCTTGTGAGTTCGGGCCCCGCCTCAGGCTCTGTGCTGACAGCTCAGAGCCTGGAGCCTCTTCAGATTCTGTGTCTTTCTCTCTCTGTCTCTGCCCCTCCCCCGCTCACACTCTGTCTCTCAAAAATAAATAAACATTAAAAAAAAAATTAAAAAGTTTTTCTAGTGACTTTAGATAGATATATAAAGCTCACTAAAAAAATACACCAAATGTCCCTTTAAAAATGTTTCTCCATCTCCTATTCTTTCTTGTGCAAATATAAGAACTAACAGCAATGATTAACTTTAAACTTTAGGGACTCTGACAGTCAAGATAAACCAGTTAATTCCTAAATATGCATAATGTGTGGATACTGCCAATGAAACTGTTTATACCTGGTTGTTACTTTTATGCTGTGCTTCGCTCTCTGAATCAGAATCATCATCTTCACTTTCTTCAATACTTTGATCTTCTTCTTCTTCATCTTCCTCTAGATCATCTGAATCACTACTACTAATGCCTTCACTTGAGGTGTCTGATGATGTACCCGAATCACTATCACTGTTGCTAGAACTCTCCATAGCTTTCTTCCTTGGTTTCTGGATAAAGACAAATTTTTAGCAAGACTTCATTTTTGGAAAAAATTCAAAGTTCACTAAGAGGTATGATTTTTAATTTTCAAGTGGTATTTCAATTTCAATATATCACTTTAGAAAAAAGGAAAAAGTCACATGTTGCAAGGGCAATTATTCAATAAATGAATCCAATTAACTTATCTGATAGGAATTCTCCAATAAAAAATACAGGCTCTGCATGTACGGAATATTAGAAACATCTAGCATACATATAGATCTATTCATATGACGGCCATGCTTCAAAATGTATGACAGATTAAAAAGAGAAATTTAGAACAGCTTTGCGATGTCTAAGAGGGAAGATGGCGGCGTAGGAGGACGCTGGGCTCACCGCGCGTCCTGCTGATCACTTAGATTCCACCTACACCTGCCTAAATAACCCAGAAAACCACCAGAGGATTAGCAGAACGGAGTCGCCGGAGCCAAGCGCAGACGAGAGGCCCACGGAAGAGGG